AAAAAGTTCAAACTTAAAATGGAACCAAGTGAAAGAAGAGAAAACTACCAAAGGCTATGGAGCATAAAGCATTTAAGTTTTTGAGAAGAATGTGCAGAGAAATCGGGTGTAAAAGAAGGTGTGGATATGCTGATAGGTTTTCATAATATTCCAGAGGATGCCTATGACGCAACCTCCTTCACATCTGCCACCAAAGCCAAACATCAAATACAAAATACGATTCAAATTATCGAAACAAAATTAGAAAAAAGCGAAATAAATGTGATAAAAGAGTGACGCTTTGGGGTCAAAGGTGGAGCCCTTTGGCAACAAATTGGATTTTGCCAGGAGGAGAGTTGAGAAGGAACCACTTCCCCACCCCAAAAAAACATTGACTACATTAGACACTAACAAATAATCAAAATGGGTACAAATTTATTAATTGGAAAAAAATAAAGTATAAACGGCAAAGAGAACAAACCTCATTAATGGCAAGCACTTGGCCATTGCTCTTCTTGACCTTCTTCAGCTTCCTCATGAAATACCTAATCCAAACAAATCAATCAACAATACTGAGTTTAACCAAAAATTCATCAATGAACATTTGGGAAGGCTAAGGATTATTCCAGAACTTGGACTTGGCGTGAACCTCATTTGTGGCCCAGAGCTTCATTTGGTAAATCTTGGGGTGCTCATTAGATGCCATAGGGAGCTTTCTCCCAACAACCTGGTACTGGTGGAACTGCAACACAAAAAAGACACCATTAATTGCAGCTTTACCATTTGACATGCCCTAAGAGAAATATATCACACAAAAACAAATACCAAATTAAATGGAACCTAAGAAACTGTGAAGATAATTTCTAGATATTTGTTCACCAAATTTCATACAACAATCCTCCACTTAAACTGACTGTTCACAACAATACTAAGAATTTGTAGGCATATTACATATGCAATATTTGGCTAATCCATTTCACCAGCAACCATATATTTAACTAAATAAACTATGTCGAAAACCAAATGGGTATTCTTCCAGAATAAAACCAACCTTCTTGAAGCATACCCATCTAAGTTATAAGAACCCCTTAGCATCCCAATACCCTAACATGGAAAAAAGAAGCATAATTTAGAATTCTGTAACAGAAATTGTCTCATTAAATTAAACAGAAATAAAAAACAGCGAATTTAAGGCTGAGATGTAATCGACTTATTGAAAGAAAAAAAATTGAGGGTGAGAGAACGATTGACAAACCTCTTTGCTAGTCCAAATGCGGAACCCTACTTCGTTTTTTCTTGCAACACCTTCAAAGTCAGTCAACATTCTGTGCTGTTCTACAAAAGATATTTACGAACACAGAACGTCATAAAATACCTTTATTGTAAATTTGTTCAACACAAAAAATCCAGAACCAAAATATTTGACGAAATTCTATTAAAAGAAAAATAACTGAAATTAAAGAGAGGGAGAGAGAACATTGTATCCCTCAACTTCTGTACATATACACTGGCTCTGTCCCACAACATCAGCAAGGGCAATGGCAAGCCTTTATTCACGCACAAACAGTCACCTGCCATTACCAATTCAAAAGCCTGTTCAATCCCATCACAGGGGAGAAATACAATCAAAATTAATAAAAGGGAAAGAAATTGAAATACAGTGGAGGCGATTAAAAGATGCAAACCTTGTTTCTATTTCAAAGTCCACGAATAGATGTAAGTGCACCATTTTGTTGTAGTCCTGCAATGCACAGAGTCATCAGCTTCACCCAAGCAACTCCGCATGCCAATTCAAATCTACCATGAACCAATCCATAAGCCCAAACATAGAACCCAATTATATGATAAACCATCACACAAAAGGCTTAATTTTGGTCCAAAAGGGCAATTCGAGGATATGGTTCTTACTTGAAATGCTTTGTTGAGGTTGCAAAATCACCTTTTTCCTCATGCTCAAACCATTCAATAACCAAAAAACAATGAAAGGAAATTTTCATTGTAATGCTAAGCACATGTATGAAAGAACAAAGGCACCAACTTTTCAATCCAACATAATTATAGAACAAAGACTCAAACTTTTTCCTTTATGTCCTTGAGTTTCCACAGAAACCCAAGTGATTTCAATAAAAAGTACTAATGTTATTAAGTAGGTGACCTCAAATGCTCTTATAAGCATAATTATTGAACTCCTACCCACAAAACAACAGTAAAATGTTTTAAAAGATGACATTTTCTGTTTTTTTTCTTGCATTTTCTAAGCAAACAAACAGAGAGTAAGTAGGTTTCTACATATTTTATACAGTGTAAAATCAGATTTTTTGTTTGAATGATCTTATATTGAACCAACCATCTCTACCTTCCAGCTAAGAGACTGGTCGATTAGTTCAGAATATCAGCTCCTAATCATATTTTCTTTTAGATGCAAACAGATATTAAGCTCCTAGGGTTCATTATCCACATGCTCAAATAGAGAGAGACAGAGAGATCTTGACTGCTTAATAATTTTTTGGGCAAGAATCAAAGGATTGAACAGCACGCTCAGAAACCCATCAGCAAGCCATTAATCCGTTAAAAAGTAAAGGGATGCAAACCTGAAGAGAAAAGATGGAAGAACTTGCAGATCGAAAATCTCTCAGACGAACGTTGCACAGAGGATGAAAGATGGTTGAACCAACGAATGAGCAGATGAGATGAGATGAAGACCAAACGAACGGCGAGATTCGCAAGGCGCTAGCCCAAATGGAAATCTACGGCCCCAAAGGAATCCCGAAGATCGAAGCCGTGCATTCCATGGCTGCCCCCAACCAGCCCAACCAAGCTGGTTCGAAGCGGACGATCGTTCTGTGGAAACGAAACAGTGGGGAGAGTTAGCATCCAAAGAGAGAAGGGCAAAAAAGGAACATAAGGAAAATTTCAGTAAAGGGCAAAATCGGCACTTCACTATTCCTAAGCTACAGTCTAGGAACAGTGAATTCGTGAACTCAGTTTTAGTATATATATAATTTGTAAAGGCGGCAAGCCTATATACAGGAGAGTTCTAACCGACATAGCTTAGTCGCTTAGTTTATTATATTACAACACTTTGATTATTTTATACTAGAGCACACTTCAATATATTATGATATTTTGGTAACATGAGGGTACTCGAGTCCTTGGACCCGTCACAGAACAAACCGAGTGGGCAAATTCCACCACAGTTGGCAAAGCTGACTTTCCTTTCATTCTTGAACCTCTCAAACAATCAACTAGTAGGCTGGATCCCAACTAGGGGTGGGCACGGTACGGTACGGTACGGTATTATGGTTTGCCAAAATTGGTACCATACCGTACCGAGCCAAATCGGTATCGGTACGGTATCGGTACCATTTCGGTACCAAAATGATACAACTAAAAAATGAACTAATTCAATATTCAACACCAAAATAAGTGATGTCTAAGTTACAAATTCAAAGATTCAATATATTCAATATCCATCAACATTTTCAATATTCAATATCCATTAACATATTCAATATCCAAATCCTAATCAACATATTCAATATCCATCAACATATTCAATATCCAAATCAACCAAATCAATATTTATCCATCAACATATTCATCAAATCCAAATGGTTAAAACTCATGCATTATGGCTTACAAACCAAAAGAGTTAAACTTATGCCTTATGGCTTACAAAAATACAAACACAATCCAAACATAAATGACAAAAGCGTTTGAGAAATTGAAAGGCAAGCGAGAGACAGAGAGCGAGAGAATGAAAAAAAAAATTTATATTTCAATAGAGTACTATTCGGTACGGTACGGTATTGACCGGTATCAAAATCTTAATACCACTACCATACCATACTCGATTGGTACGGTATGGTACGGTACCGAATATCTATCGGTACCAAATGAAACGGTATGAAATCGGTACGGTACGGTGCGGTTAGGGTACGGTTTCGGTATTTCGGTTTAAGATGCCCACCCCTAATCCCAACTAGTACTCAGTTTTCAACATTTCCAAAAGCCTCCTTTACAGGTAACAAAGGATTATCAGGGCCTCCTTTGACGGTCGATAACAAATCAGTATTACCACCACCAACAGTGAATGGAAGCCTTCCAAATTCTAGAATCATCATGAGATTAATTGGGGTATTATCAGTGTCGAGATTGGTTTTTCATTTGGCTTTGGAGTTTCCATTGGGTCACTTGTGTTGTGCAAGAGATGGAGTAAATGGTATTACAAAGCTATGCATAACATCCTTCTGAAGATATTCCCTCAGTTGGGGGAAAGAATTGGGAATCATCGAAGACATGTTCACATAAATCAAAGAGGGAGACGTTGAAAGGATTATGATTTTTTTTCTTCTTGTGCAAGTTTCAATAATTGGGATTTAAGCATATATCAAAAGACCAGGTTACAAATGGGACTTAAATTTTACTTTTATTATTTGTTATGAATGATTCAAATTGTTTTGTTTAAGAAACAGAACTTTTACAAACACGGTCCTTATTTTCTAATTGCATTCCAACAAGAAGAATAATATTTGAACATCCATTCATTTTAACAGAGGTTACGTAACAATATGACCCAAAACTACATGTAAAACTATACACGTGCTTGCCAAGTTCACGGCTGGTTTTTCTTTGTTATAAATGGCTCAAATTCATCCCGAGGCATGACCATGCAATTTCACAATTCAAACTTTATCAATATTTTCATGAACTCTATATCTTCAGCTTCATCAATATTTTCATCTTCCAACCCAGAAATCCATCGACTTATTCAATAGTCAATAGTCCCCTAAATGTGATAAGCCCTTAGTAGATGGCAAAAGACTTCAAAGTCAACAAGGCAAGCACACCACAAATGTTGTGGAGACATTTTCCACAAATTTAATTTAAAGCCACCATATCCATCACTATCTCAGTTTTCCACTGCGTCTCTATTTCCACGACTGCTGAAGCCACATTTGCAAACTAATATCCTAGCCTATTCTGTGCTTCAACATAATTGCTGTTACATATCAGCAGCCAGCTAGAGCTTCCAATGAGAATTCCTCTGTTTTCATGGCATTTATTAATCCTTATTCACTATGTTTCACTCAGCGTCCATGTATTTGTGGTCTCTAGTCAATGTCCCAGCGACGATCAGCAATCTTTGTTGCTCCAATTGAAGAACAGCCTCAAATTTGACTCTGCAAAATCTAACAAACTTAAGCAGTGGAAAAATGGTTCAGATTACTGTTCTTGGGAAGGTGTGTCTTGCAAAGATGGATGTGTTTCTCATCTCGACTTAAGCAGCGAGTCAATTTCAGGAGGACTTGATAATTCAAGTGCTCTTTTTGATCTGCAGTACATCGAGAACCTGAATTTGGCTTACAATAACTTCGAGTATACTCAGATTCCATCCAAGTTTGACAAGCTGACCGGTTTGAATTATCTGAACCTGTCATATGCTGGCTTTGTGGGGCAGATTCCAATTGAGATTGCACACCTGACGAGGTTGGTAACTCTTGATTTATCTACCTTTTGCTTTTCCGGACTTCCTTCACTGCAACTTGAGAATCCAAATTTGAATATACTCCTTGGCAACCTTTCTGAGCTTGTTGAACTTCATCTTGATGGTGTGAACATATCAGCGCAGGGGACTGATTGGTGCCAAGCGATATCGTCTTCATTGCCAAAGTTGAGGGTGTTGAGCTTGTTCTGTTGTAATCTGTCAGGTCCTATTGATATTTCCTTATTGAAGCTTCACGCACTCTCAGACATTCGTTTAGATTACAATGATTTGTCTGCTGAAGTTCCAGAGTTCTTCTCAGATTTCCCAAATTTGAATTCCTTGAGCCTTAGTGCTTCTGGATTACATGGTGCATTCCCAAAGAAGATCTTCCACGTACCTACACTACAGACTATTGACTTGTCGGGTAATCAACAGCTTCAAGGTTCTTTACCAGAATTTCCAAAGAACCGATCACTTCGTTCCTTGGTTCTAAGTGAGACAAATTTTTCGGGGTCATTTCCAATCTCTATTGGCGACCTCAAAATGTTGTCCATAATAGACGTTTCATTTTGCAATTTCACTGGAGCAATTCCAACGTCAATGGAAGAACTTACACAGTTGTTTTATTTGGACTTGTCATGGAACAAGTTCAATGGTTCACTTCCATTCTTCAGTATGGCTAAGAATCTGACCCTAATAAATCTTTCTTCCAATCAGCTAACAGGTCAGATTAATTCCTCTCAATGGGAAAACCTTACTAACCTCTTGAATCTCGACTTGAGGAACAATCTACTTGATGGGAAAATTCCCATGACTCTGTTTTCTCATCCCCTGCTGCAAAAACTACAACTCTCCAACAATCAATTCTCTGGCCAATTACTTGAATTTGCTAATATCTCTGTGTTAGGCACCCTTGATTTGAGTAGCAACCATTTGATAGGGCCAATACCCATGTCTATCTTTAACCTCCGAGCACTTAAGATTCTTTCACTTTCTTCAAACAACTTCAGTGGTTCCTTTCCTCTTAATGGTATTCAGCAGCTAAGAAATCTTTCAGCTCTTGATCTTTCATACAATAGCTTGTCGATTACTTATGATGATACCATTTCCTCTGACTCTTCCTTTCCTCAAATTACCAGTTTGGGATTAGCTTCGGGAAAGTTGAGAAGATTCCCAGATTTCTTGAGAAATCAATCCTACTTAAGCTATTTGGACCTTTCACAAAACCAGATTCATGGAGAGATACCCAACTGGATTTGGAGGTTCAATCATCTTTCTGAACTAAATCTTTCTTGCAACTCTCTAGTAACTCTAGAAGGTCCTTTCCTCAATCTCACTTCTACTTTGACTATGCTTGACCTTCATTCCAACCAGCTTCAGGGACAAATCCCAATTCCACGATCTGCCACTTATCTAGATTATTCAAGAAATAATTTCAGCTCTACCATACGGACTGACATTGGAGATTTCTTTACTTACACTCTGTTCTTCTCTCTTTCAAGCAACAAATTCCACGGAATCATTCCAGATTCAATATGCAAAGCGCTAGATCTTGAGGTTCTTGATCTGTCCAATAATTCTTTCAGTGGCATGATTCCACGGTGCTTGACTGCAATGAGCGATGGTCTTGGAGTACTTAATTTACAGAGGAATAAACTTTCTGGCATCATTCCTGATAAATTTCCTGAGCATTGCGCTTTAAGAACCTTAGAGCTCAATGAAAATCAAATAGAAGGTCAGTTTCCAAATTCTCTAGCCAACTGCACAATGTTAGAGTTTCTAAATGTTGGAAACAATAGGATAACAGATACCTTTCCTTGCATGTTGAAGAGCATATCCACCTTGCGTATCCTCGTTTTGCGATCAAACAAATTTTATGAGCACATTGGATGTCCCAATACCAATGAAACCTGGCCAATGCTTCAAATTGTTGACATAGCTCACAACAATTTTAGTGGTGAAATACCAGGAAGATACTTGAGAACCTGGCGAGCAATGATGGCTCACAAAGATGATGCTTTGTCAAATCATTTTCGATATGAAGTCCTAAAATTCACCGAGGTATATTTCCAGGATGCTATAACTGTTACCAACAAAGGTCTAGAGATGGAGTTGGTAAAGATTCTAACTGTCTTCACCTCGATTGACATGTCGTGCAACAAGTTCAATGGATCAATACCTGAAGAATTGGGAGAACTGAAATCACTCTATGGCCTCAACTTGTCCAATAATGCTCTCACAGGCACAATCCCATCATCATTAGGTAACCTGCGACAACTTGAGTCGTTAGACCTTTCAAAGAACAGCCTGAGCGGGCCAATTCCAGCAGAGGTTGGGGGTCTTACTTTCCTATCATTCCTGGATCTCTCAAACAATCAACTGGTCGGGCAGATCCCATTCAGTACTCAGATTTCAACATTTCCAGCAGCATCCTTTGCAGGTAACAAAGGACTATGGGGGCCTCCTTTGACGGTGGTGGATAACAAAGCAGGATTGTCACCACCACTAGCATTAAATGGAAGCCTTCCAAATTCTGGCCATCATGGGATTAATTGGGATCTTATCAGTGTTGAAATTGGATTCACAGTTGGCTTTGGATTTGCCATTGGGTCACTTACGTTCTGCAAGAGATGGAGTAAATGGTATTACAAAGCTATGTATAACATCCTTCTCAAGATATTCCCTCAGATGGAGGAAAGAATTGGTATTCATCGAAGACATGTTCACATAAATCAAAGGTGGAGACGTTGAAATGATTATGAGGAACAATGCAGCTTGAATCCATGTTTTGCCTAAGGTATTTTGAGATCCAATAAATCACAAGTGTGCTTTCTGGTTTCATAGTTAATTTAATTGTGTTCTAGCTAGTCTTGGAATATCATGTAACTTTTATATTTTATTTTTGTGGCATGTAGCAAACATTACATAAATTCACATATCAGCAAATCATTGCTAACTACTTGTTGACAGATAGGACCCTACCAGCCGCGTTTGGTATTGCAGTCTGGAGATAAAAAGTTCTTAATTTGAAAATATTCCGTTGAAAAACCGTATGGTAAAGCAAAACATAAGTGTTTATTTTTAAAGTAATGGACTTCTCACAGCAGATCATCATCCTTTATTTTTCTTTTCAAAATTACCAAAATTATCCTTCGCAAAAATTTGATTAGAAATTATTTCTCAGATTCGCTTCTTCCACCTCTCTTCCCTAAACTTTTACCAAGCACCTTCTCTTCAGACTTCAAAGATCATAACACATTTCGCTTTTGTCATTCTGCAGCTCTAACCTCCAAATTGAAGGTCTTTTTTCCAACACATCTAGCACTTTCACAGCCCATAAACACTCAAAGACTTTCGATTCCCATAAATCTTGATATATTTGGTTGCAGAAAGAAAATAAAAAAAATAAAAAAAATATTAGTGCGGAGGAAGCTCTAAAATGATTATCTAATGGAGAAATTGGGGGCTTCACTGAAATGAGACAGCACAGCAGCTCAGAGGAACAGAAGGGGGAGAAGTTGCAATGATTATGAAGAGCAATGCACACTTGACTCCATTAGGCTTGGGATTGGGTTGGGTAAACCCTGTCTTTTTAGTTTAAATGTCTAGGAAATAAGCACCAGTCCAATCAAATCAACGAGTTGGGCTTGTTCAACTTATGATCTTAGTAAGATATGTCCATGATCAAGTTTTCTTGTGGTCTGAGCTTTGTTCGAAACAAAATGTCAGCTCAAGTTTGTACTCAACTGTATAGTCTGAGCTTGTTCAAAACAAAATGATTATCTTGTTTCTTTCAATTTGCCTTCTTGTGAAGTTTCAACGGATGGGATTAAATCGTCACGACTCGAAAGCTATGCAAAAAGAGAAACAAATAAGCAACAAGAGCATTACTATCTGCTACATATAGCTGAGATTTGCAGTCCCTCTGTTAAGCTTCAGATTTCAATTCTTTCCCTCTGAAGATATTCTCTCAGCTGAGGGAAAGAAATGGGAATCATCGAAGACATGTTCACATGACGTTGAGAGGATTATGAGATTTTTTTTTTCCTTTGTTCTTTCTTGTGTAAGAACTTTTGCCAACACGGTCCCTATTTTGTAATTGCATTCCAAGAAGATGAATGATATTTGAAGATCCAGTCATTTTAACACGTGCTTGCAAAGTTCACAGCTAGTTTTTCTTTGTTGTAAATGGCTCAAATTCATCCCGAGGCACGACCATGCAATTTCACAATTCAAACTATGGATGAGTCATGAACCAATTTTTAATTTCATGAACCCAGAAATTCAGCGACTTATTCAATAGTCAATAGTCCCCTTATAGTGAAACAATCGAATAAAACAACCTACATACATTTACATGCAACACCCCCATTAAGTAGATGGCAAAAGGCTTCGAAGTGAACAAGTCAAGCAAACCACAAATGTTGTGGAGACATTATCCACAAAATTTAATTTGCCACCATATCCATCACTATCTCAGTTTTCCTCAGCGTCTCTATTTCCACGACTGCTGAAGCCACATTTGCAAGTCTCCTGGTCAATCCCCTAAAGCAATTTCATATTTCCACGACTGCTGAAGCCACATTTGCAAACTAATATCCTAGCCTATTCTGTTCTTCACCACATTTGCTCTCACATATCAGCAGCCAGCTATAGCTTCCAATGAGAATTCCTCTGTTTTCATGGCTTTTCTTAATCCTTATTTACTATGTTTCACTCAGCGTCCATGTATTTGTGGTCTCTAGTCAATGTCCCAGCGACGATCAGCAATCTTTGTTGCTTCAATTGAAGAACAGCCTCAAATTTGACTCTACATCATCTAAAAAACTTGTGAAATGGAACAATGGCTCAGATTACTGCTATTGGGAAGGTGTGTCCTGCAAAGATGGCTGTGTTTCTCATCTCGACTTAAGCAGCGAGTCAATTTCAGGAGGACTTGCTAATTCGAGTGCTCTTTTTGATCTGCGGCACATCGAGAACCTGAATTTGGCTTACAATAACTTCAACAATACTCAGATTCCATCCAAGTTCGACAAGCTGACCAATTTGAGTTATCTGAACCTGTCAAATGCTGGCTTTGTGGGGCAGATTCCAATTGAGATTTCACTCCTTAAAAGGTTGGTAACTCTTGATTTATCTACCTTTTACTATCCCGGAACTCCTTCACTGCAACTTGAGAATCCAAATTTGAATGTGCTCATTGGCAACCTTTCTGAACTTATTGAACTTCATCTTGATGGTGTGAACATATCAGCACATGGGGCTCAGTGGTGCCAAGCTATATCATCTTCACTGCCAAAGTTGAGGGTGTTGAGCTTGTCCAGTTCTAATATTTCAGGCCCTTTTGATAGTTCATTACTGAAACTTCAGTCACTCTCAGTGATTCGTATAGAGAACAACAATTTGTCTACTCAAGTTCCAGAGTTCTTCTCAAATTTCAAAAATTTGATTTCCTTGCGCCTCAGCAGTTCTGGGTTATATGGTACATTTCCAGAGAAGATTTTCCAAGTACCTACGCTTCAGACTATAGACCTATCAGGTAATTCTCAGCTTCAGGGTTCCTTACCAGAATTTCCGAAGAATGCATCTCTTCAATCCCTCGTTCTCAATGGGGCAAATTTCTCAGGCCAGTTGCTACCGAACTCTATTGGGAACCTCAAAATGCTGTCCAAAATAGATGTACCAAGTTGCAATTTCACTGGATCAATCCCAAGGTCAATGGAAAACCTTACACAATTGATTTATGTGGACCTCTCAATGAACAAGTTCAATGGTTCAGTTCCATTCTTCAGTATGGCCAAGAATCTGACCCAAATAAATCTCTCATCCAATCTTCTAACAGGTCAGATTAATTCCTATCACTGGGAAAACCTTACTAATCTGGTGTTTCTCGACTTGAGATACAATCTACTTAATGGGACTATTCCACCGTCTCTATTTTCTCTTTCACTGCTGCAGAAACTACAGCTTTCTAACAATCAATTTTCTGGTCAGTTACTTGAATTTGCTACTATATCTGTACTGGACACCCTTGATTTGAGTAGCAATAAGTTGGAAGGGCCTATACCAATGTCTATCTTTAATCTTCGAGAGCTTTTGATTCTTTCACTTTCTTCAAACAATTTCAGTGGCTCCTTTCCACTTAATGGTCTTCCACAACTGAAAAATCTTTCGAGTCTTGATCTTTCATACAATAGCTTGTCGATTACTTATGATGATACCATTTCCTCTTACTCTTCCTTTCCTCAAATTACCACATTGAAATTAGCATCTAGCAGGTTGAGAATATTCCCAAATTTCTTGAGAAAGCAATCCAAATTAAGCACTTTGGACCTTTCACAAAACCAGATTTCTGGAGGGATACCCAACTGGATTTGGAAGCTCAGTACTCTTTCTCAACTAAATCTTTCTTGCAACTCTCTGGTAACTCTAGAAGGTCCTCTCCTCAATGTTACTTCTAGTTTGTCTGTCCTTGACCTTCATTCCAACCAGCTTAAGGGACAAATCCCACTTTTTTCACAACTTTCCGTTTATCTAGATTATTCAAGAAACAACTTTAACTCCAGCATACGGACTGACATTGGTGATTTCCTTTCTAATACTATATTCTTCTCTCTTTCAAGCAATAAATTTCAAGGAATCATTCCAGAATCTATATGCAATGCGACAAATCTTCAGGTTCTTGATGTTTCAAATAATTCTCTCAGTGGCTTGATTCCCAAGTGCTTGACTGCAATAAGTGGGACTCTTGCGGTACTGAATTTGAGAAGAAACAATCTTTCTGGCACTGTTCCTGATAAATTTCCTGAGCATTGTAGTTTAAAAACTCTAGACCTCAATGGCAATCAGATAGGAGGTCAGTTTCCAAAATCTCTAGCCAATTGCACAATGTTAGAGGTTTTGAACCTTGGAAACAATCAAATAGCAGATACGTTTCCGTGCCTGTTGAAGAACATTTCCACCTTGCGTGTTCTTGTGTTGCGATCCAACAAATTTTATGGAGGCTTTGGATGCCCCAAGCCCCATGGAAACTGGACAATGCTTCAAATTGTTGACATAGCACTCAACAAATTTAGTGGTGAAATACGAGGAAAATGCTTGAGAACCTGGAAGGCAATGATGGGTGACGACGATGATGCCATGTCAGAGCTTAATCACCTTCAATTCACCGGGGTATATTATCAGGATGCTATAACTGTTACCAACAAAGGTTTAGAGATGGAGTTCGTAAAGATTCTAACTGTCTTCACCTCTATTGACATCTCCTCCAACAACTTCAGTGGATCAATACCTAAGGAAGTGGGACAACTCAAATCGCTCTATGTCCTCAACTTGTCCAGTAATGCTTTCACAGGTGCAATACCAACCTCATTAAGCAAATTGCGGCAACTTGAGTCCTTGGACCTTTCGAACAACAAATTGGGCGGAGAAATTCCAGCAGAACTTGCCAAACTCACTTTCCTCTCATTCCTGAATCTCTCGAACAATCAACTGGTTGGGAAGATTCCAAGCACTGCTCAGCTTTCAACATTTTCAGCAGCTTCATTCACAGGTAATAAGGGATTATGTGGGATACAGTTGAACATAACATGCAATAATCCCAGCGAGTCACCAGATGCAGTACAAAAGGCTCCAAATCATCATCGTGAGATTAATTGGGGTGTTATCAGTGTCGAAATTGGTTTTACATTTGGCTTTGGAATTGCTATTGGGTCACTTGTGTTGTGCAAGAGATGGAGTAAATGGTATTACAAAGCTATGTATAACATCCTTCTCAAGATATTCCCTCAGTTGGAGGAAAGAATTGGTATTCATCGAAGACATGTTCACATAAATCAAAGGTGGAAACGTTGAATTGATTATGAGGAATAATGCAGCGGCAATCCACGTTTTGCCTAATGTATTTTGAGATCCAAGAAATCAGAAGTGTGCTTTCTGGTTTCATAGTTAATTTAATTGTGCTCTAGTTAGTCTTGGAATATCATGTATCTTTTATATTTTCTTTTTGTGGCATGTAGAAAAGATTACATAATTAAATTCACATATCAGCAGATCATTACTAACTACTTGTGGACAGACCCTACCCGCTGCGTTTTGTGTTGCAGTGTGGTAAAGGAAAATGACCTTCTATTATCTTGTATTTTTAAAGTAATGGACTTCTCACAGCATATCATCATCCTTCATTGTCTTTTCAAGTCAACGAGCTGGGCTTGTTCAACTTAAGCCCAGTCGAAACTAAATGTTAGCTTGTTTCTTTGAGTTTTTACTCAAATTTATAGTCTGAGCTTGTTCCAAACAAAATGCTCATCTTGTTTCTTTGAATTTGCCTTCTTGTGAAGTTTCAACGGATGGGATTAAATTGTCTCGACTCGAAAGCCAAGTAAAAAGAAAAACAAATAAGCAACAAGAGCATTACCATCTGCTACATATAGCTGAGATTTGCAGTCCCTCTGTTAAGCTTCAGATTTCAGATTCACCTAAACCAACAACGACAACATCTCTACCGTTGCCTAACGGGCAGGAAAAATCTGCTCAACTCATTCATGGTGTCCTAGTCTAAGGGAAACCAGGGCAGGTGGGGGTTGGACAAAACACGGGACCATTTTTGACCAAAAAAACAAACATGGGACCGTTTTTGACAGAATATTTAATCACTTCCTTCAAAGAATCCAATAATTCTGTGTGAATGTGTTTTTTTTCTTCCAATTGTTGGACTTGTATTTTGGTGTCTTTGATTTTTCTTTCTTCAAGGGTTATTTTCTTTCTTTTTCGCCATTCAATTTTTCTGTGGGAATTTCCCAACCCTTTAATGAGATTTTGACTGCTGTTAGCCTAGATTGTTAAAGTACCAAACTCCATGGCTAAATGTCAAACTTATCGTATGACTTTACTCTTTTCCAACAATGGCATTGAAATTTGTTTGAAAATCATGCATGACTCTAAGAACAATAAATAATTTGTCCATCTTTTCGTCGATATAAAGCCTCCCTACCCTGTCCATATCCGTCACCCTCCCACCCAAGATGCCCGACTCATCGATGTTTTTACACCAAACAATATTTAATCTTTTTTCTGGTACAGAAAAATCAATTTTTCTCACTACGTGGATGACGCGTTCCAAATTAAAATTTGCATGGTGTATTATTTTGCACGCAATATGCAAATTTAAAAAGAAAAATTATTCTGACAATTGTTACATAATAAGAACGAGATTATACATGCATACTTTATGGGCATTCGGATTCAGGGGAGCTTATAATTTAGTCCCTAAAATACTGTTTTAAACATGCAACTAATCCTGCTTAATTAATTTTCAAACCTAATTAGTTGAGGATGATGATGGCTTGTTTGCAACAACCACGCCTTACAAGAATTATTAATATTTTGAAAGACAACTACCGTTTGGTCAGAATTGGAGACTTCATCTGAACGTCTTAAATTACCCAAGATTAAGTTTAAAATGTAAAACTAAAGAGTTAAAAACACGAGAGAGAAAATGAGATTTATTTACCCACAAATCTAGAGGGAGAAATGGGATTGGTATTTTTCCACAATACAATACAAGAAAGTCAACAACCAAGACAAAGGCAATTGGGCTTGAATATTCCAAGTTTGCAACGTGCCAGGAGTGACTGTCAGAAAGCTGTGGGGATAAATACAATAAAGAAAGGCCGCCTCAAGAACAAGTCCACATTATACAAACAAACGCGGCTCTGAGTCTTCTCACTCATCCATCCCAATTCTCTCTGTTTTGTCTTCTTCCATGTTCTGCCTCCCATGAAAACTTCCAATTAGTCTCCCTTCCGTGCTAACTCTGCAAGATTTTTGGTCTGGTCAACGGCTCAAATCCAGCAGCTCAAGGTTCATGTTCATGGATCTTTGCCTTCATGGGACCATTGCTTATATCCTAGCCTGCTCTGTTTCCTCTTGTGCGGGTGTCACTTATCAGAGCTTTCAATGAGAATTCCTCTGCTTTCATGGCTTTTCTTAGTGCCCATTTACTATGTTTCACTCAGCTTCCATGTCTTCGTGGTCTCTAGCCAATGCCCAAGCGATGAGCAATTTTTGTTGCTTCAATTGAAGAACACCCTCCAATTTGACTCTGCAAAATCTAACAAACTTAAGCAGTGGAAAAATGGCCCAGATTACTGCTCTTGGGAAGGTGTGTCCTGCAAAGATGGATGTGTTTCTCATCTCGACTTAAGCAGCGAATCAATATCAGGAGGACTTGATAATTCAAGTGCTCTTTTTGATCTGCAGCACATCGAGAACCTGAATTTGGCTTACAATAACTTCAACAATACTCAGATTCCATCCAAGTTCGACAAGCTGACCAATTTGAGTTATCTGAACCTGTCAAATGCTGGCTTTGTGGGGCAGATTCCAATTGAGATTTCACTCCTTAAAAGGTTGGTAACTCTTGATTTATCTACCCTTTACTTTCCCGGAACTCCTTCACTGAAACTTGAGAATCCACATTTGAATGTGCTCATTGGCAACCTTTCTGAACTTATTGAACTTCATCTTGATGGTGTGAACATATCAGCACATGGGGCTCAGTGGTGCCAAGCTATATCATCTTCACTGCCAAAGTTGAGGGTGTTGAGCTTGTCCAGTTCTAATATTTCAGGCCCTTTTGATAGTTCATTACTGAAACTTCAGTCACTCTCAGTGATTCGTATAGAGAACAACAATTTGTCTACTCAAGTTCCAGAGTTCTTCTCAAATTTCAAAAATTTGATTTCCTTGCGCCTCAGCAGTTCTGGGTTATATGGTACATTTCCAGAGAAGATTTTCCAAGTACCTACGCTTCAGACTATAGACCTATCAGGTAATTCTCAGCTTCAGGGTTCCTTACCAGAATTTCCGAAGAATGCATCTCTTCAATCCCTCGTTCTCAATGGGGCAAATTTCTCAGGCCAGTTGCTACCGAACTCTATTGGGAACCTCAAAATGCTGTCCAAAATAGATGTACCAAGTTGCAATTTCACTGGATCAATCCCAAGGTCAATGGAAAACCTTACACAATTGATTTATGTGGACCTCTCAATGAACAAGTTCAATGGTTCAGTTCCATTCTTCAGTATGGCCAAGAATCTGACCCAAATAAATCTCTCATCCAATCTTCTAACAGGTCAGATTAATTCCTATCACTGGGAAAACCTTACTAATCTGGTGTTTCTCGACTTGAGATACAATCTACTTAATGGGACTATTCCACCGTCTCTATTTTCTCTTTCACTGCTGCAGAAACTACAGCTTTCTAACAATCAATTCTCTGGTCAGTTGCCTGTATTTGGTGGTGTCTCTCTATTGGACACCCTTGATTTGAGTAGCAATAAGTTGGAAGGGCCGATACCAAAGCCTATCTTTAATCTCAAAGGGCTTAAGATTCTTTCACTTTCTTCAAACAACTTCAGCGGCTCCTTTCCTCTTGAACTTCTTCCACAACTGAAAAATCTTTCGAGTCTTGATCTTTCCTACAACAGATTGTCAATTGATTACAATGAGATCAATTCCTCTTACTCTTCCTTTCCTCAAATTACCACATTGAAATTAGCATCTAGCAAGTTGAGAATATTCCCAAATTTCTTGAGAAAGCAATCCAAATTAAGCACTTTGGACCTTTCACAAAACCAGATTTCTGGAGGGATACCCAACTGGATTTGGAAGCTCAGTACTCTTTCTCAACTAAATCTTTCTTGCAACTCTCTGGTAACTCTAGAAGGTCCTCTCCTCAATGTTACTTCTAGTTTGTCTGTCCTTGACCTTCATTCCAACCAGCTTAAGGGACAAATCCCACTTTTTTCACAACTTTCCGTTTATCTAGATTATTCCAGAAACAACTTTAACTCCAGCATAAGGACTGACATTGGTGATTTCCTTTCTAATACTATATTCTTCTCTCTTTCAAGCAATAAATTTCAAGGAATCATTCCAGAATCTATATGCAATGCACAAAATCTTCAGGTTCTTGATGTTTCAAATAATTCTCTCAGTGGCTTGATTCCCAAGTGCTTGACTGCAATAAGTGGGACTCTTGCGGTACTGAATTTGAGAAGAAACAATCTTTCTGGCACTGTTCCTGATAAATTTCCTGAGCATTGTAGTTTAAAAACTCTAGACCTCAATGGCAATCAGATAGGAGGTCAGTTTCCAAAATCTCTAGCCAATTGCACAATGTTAGAGGTTTTGAACCTTGGAAACAATCAAATAGCAGATACGTTTCCGTGCCTGTTGAAGAACATTTCCACCTTGCGTGTTCTTGTTTTGCGATCCAACAAATTTTATGGACGCCTTGGATGCCCCAATACCCATGGAAACTGGTCAATGCTTCAAATTGTTGACATAGCACTCAACAATTTTAGTGGTGAAATACGAGGAAAATGCTTGAGAACCTGGGGGGCAATGATGGGTGACGAAGATGATGACCAGTCAAAACTCAATCATCTTCGATTTGAAATCCTAAAATTCACCGGGGTATATTATCAGGATGCTATAACTGTTACCAACAAAGGTTTAGAGATGGAGTTCGTAAAGATTCTAACTGTCTTCACCTCTATTGACATCTCCTCCAACAACTTCAGTGGATCAATACCTAAGGAAGTGGGACAACTCAAATCGCTCTATGTCCTCAACTTGTCCAGTAATGCTTTCACAGGTGCAATACCAACCTCATTAAGCAAATTGCGGCAACTTGAGTCCTTGGACCTTTCGAACAACAAATTGGGCGGAGAAATTCCAGCAGAACTTGCCAAACTCACTTTCCTCTCATTCCTGAATCTCTCTAACAATCAACTGGTCGGGAAGATTCCGAGCAATGCACAGTTCTCAACATTTTCAGCAGCTTCATTCACAGGTAATAAAGGATTATGTGGGATACAGTTGAACAATACATGCAATAATCCCAGCGAGCCAGCAGATGCACCACAAAAGGCTCCAAACAAAGCGTCAGAAATTGGGTTTGATTGGCAGTCCATATATACTGGAGTGGGGTTTGGAGTGGGAGCAGGAGTGATTGTTATCCTCTTAATCTTGTGGGAGGAAGGAAGAAATTGGTTGGAGGACAGCATTGACAGAATTCTTCTGGTAATCCTTCCAATGATGGGATTTACTTACAAAACTCGCGATGAATGGAATGAGGAGGAGGAAGAAGATTTTGAAGAAGAGAGCGCGTATATCATGGAAGACTCTGATACAGATGAGAATGAATCAGAAGACAAAGGATTTCGAGGTACATATTGTGTGTTTTGTTCAAAACTTGATATGAGTAGGAAGAGGGCCATTCATGACCCAAGTTGTACATGCCATTTATCACCACCTATTTCATCTTCTTCTTCCTCCTCGTACTCATTTTCTCCATAGACACAATTTTTAGTTTTTTCGGCTCTTTCTTTTTGTTTTCTCTTCTTCATCTCTTCACAATTTACTTTTTCAGTGTTATACTTTCGTAATTATCAACCCAAAATGGTGGGACAAGAACAGCTTGTATATATAGTGTTATAATCTTTCAGTCAGGAATTTCATCAAACACATGGAGAGCCATTATACTACGACATGAAAAAGGCGTCTAAAAGTTTTGCATTGTAGGGTAAGAACAAAAGCATGCCAGTAATGCTCTTATAATTAACTGAGTCGTTAATGCCGTTAAAAACGAATTTACTGTATAGGACAAATATGGTCCTCGCTCAAGACCAGAAGGGGAACCTCATCGTGGGCCTTGAAGCCCAACAGACAGTTTGTAAGCTTTGTGGTAAAAATGATGCCCAATAGTTCTATAAAACAAAAGTAAAAAGAGAAAGAAAGACATTCTAAAAACGAGAATGACCAGATAACAAAAGTAGAAATCAAAAAGGAAACATTGAAGAACACACGTACAATATGTTGGCGTTCACCAGATAGAAATACATGATCAACAAAGCTTATTTTGTGTTCTATTTACTAAATTTTTTTTTTTTTTTTCGGTTGTAGAGAGGAGGGCCCCCACACAAACGCTAACCGACAACAAACTTGAATATAAAAATCATATACAAGTCATTGAAAATTAACGGGTTGACAAGAACAAGAGGAGCATTCCAAATACGAAGAATCAAAAGGCTTAATAATCCCAATAGAAGCGAGCACATCAACAGCATAATTGCTTTTCCTAAACACATGATGAATCCTACACACACCACCACTCATAAAAGATTTGCAACTGGATATAAGATTGAACAGCGGCTGCAGGGGATCACAACTGAGAACACTCACGAGCTCTACAGCACTCCACAATTAACGGAAAACAATTAGATTTGCTAGCAAACTTCAAGCCATGAACTTCAGCCTGATGCACAGAACCATTCCCAATTCAATCCCCACGTCTTAATTGTATTATTTAATTTATTTCATATATTTTTATATATAAAAAATTAGACAAAATACGTACGAATTTCCACTTTATATTTGAAGTAATTATTATTTTATGAAAATATCAAATAATTCATTCAAATTGAAATTCATCTCCCTCAAAAAAAAAAACTTTTGAAATTCATCTTAATAAACATACAAATATAATAGTCTTTGTATCACAAGTTATTCAAAAACAAATATTCGTGAGACCAAAAACAAATAATCAGTTATGAAATGGCCGTGGCCTTTTTTTCTTTTTTCTTTTTTTTTGGATGAGAAAAAGTATAGAGGGGAGATTGACTTTTCTCACCACCAGCATCAAGGCATACCTACAATCTTGAGTCAGAATGACTTATTCGTGGCACCCAACTGTCAGCTACTACGGTATGAATTTATATAGGAAATTAGAGATCGCGTGCAAATAAAGACTACTATCAGTGGGACTCAAACATTAGTGGGGCTATACACAATGCAGAAACCTTACCAACTGAACCAACTCTCATTGGTAATGGCTGCGGTTATTTGAATGCAAGGAAGCTACCGTAAAAACTCCAAGAGACTAAAGAATGTTGACCTCTGCAGGGACATGTTTGGCAATATCAGCCTTAAAACCACTGGACATTTAAGTTAATCCACAATTTGGGATCATTCGTAGGTTCATAACACACCAAATCAGCCATATAATCTAAATCAGTCTAGACAGAAACGTCAGTACTACAACAACATTAATTCCTTCCCATTTTTAGAGCAACAAAGAAATACAATTAGTTAAAACATTTTACCATGAAAACACACCAGTCCAAGGCTAACAATAACTTAAATATCACTAATACATACTTGCTCATAGTCATAGAAAGCACACATAGTGAATGTGGCTAAGAGAGAGAGAACTACTTATAAACTAGCTATAATATTTCATGTAGGCTTCAATATTGGGCATGGCTTCTTGACCTTGGAAGTAATTAGGGTCAGGCAATGGAATATTCATAGACGGTGAAGGTGGTTGCACGAAATTGTTCTGAGAGTAGAAATCATGGGACCCAGTTGGATGATGAAGATGATGATCAGCTGGAAGCTGGTACTGGAACATAGATGAGGATGATGAGGATGATGAACGGTCATGGGGAAGACGATCATCATCGTCCACAAAGTTGATCATGCTCTGGTGAAGCCATATCTGGGCCTTGAGGAACTTCACATAGTGGATAGCTTCCTCTAACATGGACACCGTGTCCATTTTGGTCCCACCAGGAACCAAGCTCTGCAAGATCTTGAACCGGTCACTGATCCTATGCCTCCTCTCTCTGGCCGCCACACTCTGCGGGTCTGTGGAAAGCCTCACTCCTTTGCTTTTGCTCTTCACACCACCCTTGATCTTCTCTCCGGTGCCGTTCTGTTTGGTAGCTGAAGAAGAGTTAGAGTTAGAGCCATCTGAGCTACAGTTATTAGTAGCAGAGAAATAGTCCATTTGGAGGACAAACAGCAAACGTGGCTATTTGGTTGCTTGAAACTGGGCTTTTTTGGCTTGCACTTGGTAGGGGGTAAGTGCTTTTGGGTGCATGGTATTATATATAGGGAGATGAATATTGTGGTTTGTTGATTTGAATCAAGGAGAAGGAGAGAGATGTCGTCATGTGAGTCAGCCAATCTTTGGCGCAGGATTCGGGTGTCTACCCTAGGGGTCCTAGCCCAGCCAGGAGGCCCAGGAGGGAGACTCTTTAACCTACGCAAAGGTTTCCTCTGCTTTTTGCTTTTTTTATTTTCCTGGCATTTGGTGCATATATACTATTGATACGATATTTCTATCATCTCAACTAACCATTTATCAATGTATTGTTAGGTTAAGATAATATAACAAATACTCAATTAAGATGGTACAAATAGTTTTATTCTGTCCGCAACTAGGTAAAGCGTGACCTATTAAGGACCCTCCCTTAAAACAAAGGAACATTGGCCCTTAACCAGTCCGAGAGAGAGAGAGAGAGAGAGAGAGGGTGTTTTGTTGTTTGGGTTGGAGTCAAATTGGCTTTTTGAGGCTAGTCAGGAATGAAGAGAAAGACTAAAGAGAAGGGGGGTGTGGGGGTCCTTTTTCTTTTATTTATGAAATCTAAGTGGATGTAACATAGTTGCAGGTGTGTCTAAATCCGAGGACCAAATCCTTGCCGGGCTTTTAAATCGTACGGTTATGCTTTTTATAGTTTTTATCCTTAGGTTATACACTGTTTGCAGAAAGAGAATTACTATTCGTGTCCCCTCAATTACACCTCTTTAGGAAGAAAAAGAAAAGGGCTTAAGGTCTTATCATCAGCTCTTCTTTTAAAGGGCATTTTTTAGCAAAAACTTGCCTTCAACTAGTGCTACGATTCAAGCTTAGATCCCCAAACACCTCCGTTGAATATTTACCCGATTCCCTATATGCAATAATCTAGACCAAAACTTTGTTGAGTCCACACAGGGCACTGCCTAACTTGACAGATTCAAAAAATTTCATTCAGCAATGCGAATGATGAATTGCAACTTTGCTTCGAGACAAAAAGACAAAAGCATGCAAAGATGAAAATACAAATTAAAACAGACAAAAGATGAAGAAGAAAAAAACTATTAAAAGAAGCAAAGGAACCAGGTGGGGGGGGGGGGGGGGGGGGGTCCCCTAGCTAAGCAATAGGAGGACAGATGAGTCTCCGGTTTAATTTCACAGTGGGGGTGGGTAGAACCCTAATTATTCTTACTTGTTCAACTCAAAATTACCTGCTTTATCTGTCTTCGTCAAACCACACATCAGTCACAAACTTCTGCTGATGTACATGACCGCATAGTGTTTTGACATAAAATTTGTTTCTCTTTTTCTACATAATTATTTTGTACACCAGATTTCTCGTAGTGTGTAACTAATCTATGAATATTGCCCATGTAGAATTCTACAATGTATATATGTTATCTATGTTTTTATAATAAGATGATACTTTTTACAACAGACTGATACATTCATAAATAAGGCTACACCACCACAATAAGACCAACAAGTAACTAGTTATCGAACTAATCACAAGAATATATCGTCATCGTCATTCATGTGAGTCAAACTTGAGACCTCCTCCAATTAAGTAGAAACAAATATCAGTAGAGTTGGTTATATACACACGTGAAATTACAAATTGCAAAGACCAAAAACCCAAGAATTAAAATATGTTAATACTGCATTGTCCACAGTGCTAGGGCAGAGTTGGTAAACCTGCGGATTAGCCAGTTGATGCTTGAGTTTGGGGCCCCCCCACACTGAACAGGGGATTGGAAATGGAAATATCGACATCACAAGGGAAGGTAAGTGATGATTTTACTGTTGAGGAAGTTACTGTTACAGGGCCGGCAGGAAGGGTTCTTAGCTTTATACGGTGAAGGCAGCTGCAGAGTTTTACTGTGGTTGCAGTTTTTGAGTAACAGAAACGTTACGAGACATATCTGTGGTCTATTTGGTTTTGCACTCCTCAAATCAAAACCTTCCAGATATCTTTTTCTGCATTTAATATGGACGTTGACTTGTGCTCGCTCTGCATTATACACTTTTTATGATCGTCAACCCGATAAAAGGAGAAGAGAATTTAGAAGGAGCACACGCAAGTAGAAGAATCATGAAAGTTTTACTCCACTTCAAATTGAAAATACACACCATTTTAACCTACTTAATTTATATCATTTTTTAAGATTAATGCTCTCTTGTTACATACACTTCAAATCAAACTGAAGAATTAAGATTTATGATTTTGGCATTGAGGTTGGTTGTTTCTTTTAGGTTTAATGATGGTTGCTAGTAGGGCTGGGCATTTGGACCCGAAACCTGGCCAATTGGCCCAAACCAAACCGATGGGTTGGGTTGGTTTGGTTTTTTTTTGTTTTTTTGGGTCATCGGTTTGAACTCAAACCAAACCGAAATATACGATTCGGTGTACGGTTTGCAATATTCAAACCCACGGTTTAACCAAACCAAACCAAAGATATTAAAAAATATTATATATAAGAAATATATATATATAATACATAGTTTCAATCTTTTCTTTTTCTTCTCTCTCAATCTCTTCGTTTGTCTTGTCTTCATCAGTCCCTCTATCTCTATTTTTATTTTCTCATTCTTCTTATATATGTCTTCACGCCCTCTCCCCATCTCCCTCTTCTTCTTTTTTCATTCTTCTTCTTCTCTCTCCTTTATTTTTCTCCTCTTCTTCTTCTTCTTCTCCATCTCTCCCTATTTTTTTTTTCTTCTTCTCCTATCCATTGCTTTTATTTCCTCTCTCTCTCTCTCTCTCTCTCTCTCTCTAAGAAACC